ATATTGACCATGACTTTTTGATGACGATATTTGTTTCTTGATTTCATTATCATGAATATTTTCTGAAACAAAACTACGAAATAATTTTCTGAAATGTAAAGGTTGTATTTTTCGATATGTATTTTTCATTAATTCAGATTTTTCTCCATGTAAATTTTGAAAAGCTTGTAATTGTTCAGATGATAATTGTAATGGTTCTTGTAAAACACTCCATATAACTGATTCGTAACAAGGTGGAGTTGTTAATGAACCATCATAACGATAATAACGATGCATACGTTTTACACCAATTAAATCTTTCAAATTGAAATCTTCATCAATAAAAACATGTTTATCTTTATTTCGAATATGTTTTAATGCATTAACTATTGGTTGAAGAAGTGAATTCGACTTATTACTAAGCTAATAATTAAGAAAACAAAATATATGAAAAATAAAAATAACAAAGAATTAGAAAAATTCACTTCAAAGAAAACACCAACAACAGCAAGTGCACGTGTATTCGACTTTGCTTCATCAATATTTGAAAACCAACTGGAATAAGTTACCATATGCATCTAAATATGAATCTCTATTAAATATTTCAATTAAATAATTAACAATTACTTCTAATGGATATGATCGTCCTTCAAGTAAATGTTCCGATCCATTAACAGTGTCATTTGAATGACCCCAATGAAAATGAATTTGTTCTACTCGATAATCTTCACTTGCCGGAGCAACATGTTTTAATACAGAATGATTTGTTAAACTAAGTTGAGCTATGAAAGACAAATATTATAGCAAATAATTAACAGTATTTTTATATGTGAAAGGGAAGATTGGTCAATACAGATGGATTTAAGATACTTGTTCACAGACGTATGTGAGTAACTGTGAATGTAAATATTAAATAGCTGCAATTCCTTCGAGACTCGACTCTATGAAATCTTGGTATGGAATGGATTATACAGAAAACTCCATTAGCTATTAAAATTACTATCTGAATTTGAACTAGATGGTTAACATTCTAGGCAAAAAATTTAAAATTAACTTTTTACCACTATTTTATGATGTGTTCGCCCTTTTGAAAGAGTTAATATGGATAAAACATTATGTATATGTATAACGAAACTTACCTGTGTGACCATTATTTAAGAGTTTCGGTCGACCTATAAATACGTATTAATAAATTGACATCCGAAAAAAAAAAGAAATTAATATTTATTTACCACGAGACTTTAGCTCTTGTAAATACAAAGGTTTAAGACGACGATCAAAAAGTGATTTTTTAAATTGTAAATCAATTGGCGATTGTAGATTTCCACGGCAATAATGATCATCATGCGACCATGCAGTAATATTTTCATAAGACCAATGTCCTATATTTTATAATTCGAGCTTTTATTAAGGAAGGCCTCCTCACAAACAACCCTTTTTTATTTTTCCATGGAATTCAATCAAAATTTCAGAGAATGTTAGTCTTGTCCAGAGTAGATTATGGTTAAAATATCTCCTCAAATCTACGAGATATTCACGATTTATAGTCAATTTATTAGTCTAAAGTACCCTCTATGTGGGCAAGGTTTTCACAACCAAGATACGAGCTAACATGCCGAGACTGCTTTTATGTTGTAGAATACCCTTAGAGCTAGACCCTTACACAGTCTGATTTTTATAATTTCCTTTGTTTGTTCTTTAAAAAAAAATCTTTTCCGAAAAATTCTCGAATTCATGACCAAAACAATCGTTGATAAAAATCAAATATATGTTTTCTTTTTCGCCAATAGAGAAATTTTAAACTAGGGCTCTGTGACGATCTAGCCCAAACTGTCCTCTATGCAATAAAAAAAATTATCACTTCTATATGAAGTCATTATTGAGTAATATTTATCCACGCAAACAGTAAACTTGAAAAAACGATATCCTTCAAACTCATCATAAAAGCAATCAAATATAGTGCATTCGAGAGCAGATACGTTGCTCTATCTAACGCGCTATAAATTACAAAAATAATAAATTTGACAAAAGTTGATTTTGTCTGAAGGAGATCTCCTTAAGAAAAAAAAAGAAAAATATTTACCTTTCGATTCAACAATTATTGGTAGCAATAATACAATCATTAACATCAATTGTAACATATTTGATAAATCGATCCGCTAAAATGAATTCGCTAGAAAAAGAAATCTACTGCATAGAAAGAAATATGAACTATATTCAATCAAAAGCATAATAATAATAATAGAAATCTCTTATTCCAATGTTATAAAGCAAGAAAAAAAAGAAAGACTAGTGAGCGACACAATAAGAAGTTGATTACAAAAGAAGAACATTTTATGTAGAACTATAATGGCCTTTTTATTATCAATGGCATTATCTTCTATCAAATTCTCTTTTTTGTTTCTATTGGAAATAAAATAAAAAGATGACGAGACATTTTACTTTGCTTGATTTGTAAATGATTCCATTTTCTTTCATCTTATTGAGTATCGATGTAAAACATTTATATACAAAATTATTTCACGTACAATATAGCTAAAACATTTGAGCTTATCAGTGTCTTATTTTAGTAAACATAATATTTGATATCCCATATTATCATAAGATAAAATATCTAGAGCACCTAAATGTTTACATTAACTAAGATAGATATAAATTTCACATAAGTACAAAGATCTTTGAAAAATTGAAAGGAAAGCCACTATATGATTTGTATGAATTCATTGCTAACAATCAATAATCGCTTTCTAGATTAGTAAAAACTTTTGATTGTGCGGAAATATATTTTCATAATGATATAATAATGTTACGTGAAAGATCAAACTATAACACGAGATTTATTCATACTCACTGGTAGAAGTTTTTTTTTTTTAATGATAATGTTGAATAAGAAAGTAATGGTTATATTTAATATGAAAATTTTTAACGAAAAGATTCGCCGTAGAATTCAATACAAAACAGTATACCTTATTCAACTAATATATTTTTATTTCTTTTTAGAATACGTTTTTTTTTAGCAATAGGATTATGTAGAGCTTTCCAAATTTGCATTTTTTTTTTCAAGAAGTATTTCTATTCTGAAAGCATTGTACCTTTGTCTACGACGTATTGACAGGTTATTAATGTACTACTAAATTATTATTCAGAATGGATTCATCATTGCAATGAGGTTTAAACGTATCCTTAAGAAAGACACAAAGCTTTAAAAATAAAAGTGCGTTTTAAGAAAAAAATAGATAAAATGCAGATTGCTGAAGCTCTACATAATCTGATTGCTAAAAAAAAATCTGTGCGCTATAAAGAAAGAAAAATATATTAATTGAGTAAGTTATACTGATCTTGTGAAGAACTCTATTGGGAATCGTTTGAAAGAAAACAGAGCTTGAACAATTGAATTGATCGACGCATGATCAAAATACTAATCGGTAATTGATTCTGCCGCACCCGTTGTTTTATGTATTTTTCTATTTTTCTTAGTTAATCTTTGAAAAAAAAAACTTTCGAAATAAAAGAAAACATATATATCAAGGTTCTTTTATTTGATTACCATCATGATCGATCACTAATTTTAAACGTGCTAGTATTTTATCTATCATTGATTGATATCAAGCAACACTAAATTCTTTTCATTCCTTTGTCATGTCGTCTTTACTTTATTAGGCTTCCGATCTCGTCAATTTTCTTTTAATACATTCCAAATAGAGTCTATAAGTTCAAAGTCAGCTAGTTTTGCAGCATAATTCACTTGATAAAAGCACGTTTAAACACATTCAAAGTCGTTGACACATTGTGTTAATGATCTTGATTATAGTGAAAAATTTCATTTCGTGAATGACCTAATTTTCTGCTACAATAGTGATAGTGTTCTCTTAGTTTCTTATCAATAGTCAAAGCTGTAAATCTGAAATTTCGTATCTATTTAGTATTATAATCATGTGGTCTCGAATTTAGGTTGATGAATGGTTTGTGTAATCATTTTTTTTGAAATGAACATCTATTATTTCACTCTCACACTTGGATGTTTACTAGAGAACACTATAAACTATATAATGGTGTAGTATTGGATTTGATTTATAAAAATGTTGAAAGAAAATCTGTATGTGAAAAATTGTAATATAAATTTTTCAAATTCGTATATTTCTCATCGATAATAATAACTAAATCGAGCCGTGTTGCTTTCAATATATGTTTTTAATAAATGTTATTCAATGACACTATTTCCTTCTTCTTTTGTCGACTTCTTCATTATTCTTTGCATTGTTTATATAGAATATTAGTTCATAAATGATCTATAGTTATTCCAATTTTGGTGATAATACTATGTAAAAGTAAAGTAGACGCCATAGGAAAAGTAAAAATAGAAGCTAAGTGTAGTGAAGATTTTCTTGCACCCACATTACACTTTCAAAACTCTTTTTTGCTTAGTTCCAATTTTCTATTAGAATTAATTTTTGATATATAACTGTGGGTCTGACAATTTTAGTTTTGAAATCTTTCATCTCTTTTGTTATTGTTTAGCTTAATTCAGTCAAATTGAATCTTTTAGTATGAATTTCTCGACCATTTTTCGCTTTCTCTAGGCATCTGTATGATCATAGCCAGAATACATTATAAATATCTTTTAATTGAATAAAAAACATTAAAATTTTAAACGGAATTTGAAATCAATGAATTATAAATAGAAACAATTATCTACCATAGCTACAAAGAGTTTTGTTTGTCTCAAATGCAAAAACGATGAATTTGTATATATATTATGATCTGAATATAAACAATCCATTCATATGAGACAACTTGTCTGCAAAATGTTTCTATCTAATTTGATAAAATTAGATGTTAATTTAACATCTCTAAATAACAACAAACTATTTTCTATTAATTTAAAGACGATAGTCTAATGATCTGCTTTTATTTATTCATTGACGTCCATTTTTTTTTTTTGTAAGATACAATATTTGAAAAAAAAAATAAGAAGAAGAAGAAATACAAAGATATGTAAGATAGTTATTGGTTGTTGTTGTTTAATATTCTTCACCTTCACCTTCACCTTCGCCCTAAAAGAAATCGTATACAAAAAAAAAACAGTTAAGAAAAAAAAAAAAAAGAAAATATGTTTTCATACTTCAACTGAATCAACACCAACTTCTTCATAATCTTTTTCTAATGCAGCTAAATCTTCACGTGCTTCCGAAAATTCACCTTCTTCCATACCTTCACCAACATACCAATGAACAAAAGCACGTTTAGCATACATTAAATCAAATTTATGATCAAGACGAGCCCAAGCCTCTGAAAAATAAGTAAAATATTAACAATAATAATAATAGTATATAAATTCATACCGGCAATAGCTGTTGTATTTGATAACATGCAAACAGCACGTTGTACTTTAGCTAAATCACCACCTGGTACAACAGTTGGTGGTTGATAGTTAATACCAACTTTAAAACCAGTTGGACACCAATCAACAAATTGAATTGTTCGTTTTGTTTTAATTGTAGCAATAGCAGCATTAACATCCTTTGGTACAACATCACCTCGATATAAAAGACAACAAGCCATATATTTACCTAAAAGAAATTTAATTTAATACTTGAAAAAAAAAATGAAAAATAAAAAACGGATTTATTTTTACCATGTCGAGGATCACATTTAACCATTTGATTAGCTGGTTCAAAGACAGCATTTGTAATTTCAGCAACAGTTAATTGTTCGTGATAAGCTTTTTCAGCTAAAGATGAAAAATAAAAATTATTTCAATAGATAATAGAACTAAAACTGTTTTTTTCTTTTTCATACCGCTAATGATCGGTGCATAAGTAGCTAATGGAAAGTGAATACGAGGATATGGTACTAGATTTGTTTGAAATTCTGTAAGATCAACATTAAGTGCACCATCAAAACGTAATGAGGCTGTAATGGATGAAACAATTTGAGCAATTAAACGATTTAAATTTGTATATGTTGGACGTTCAATATCCAAATTACGACGACAAATATCATAAATAGCCTCTTAAATTTTTCAGAAAAATAAATAAATTTAATTTAAATAAATTTTGTAAAATTACAAACCATTATCAACCATAAAAGCACAATCCGAATGTTCAAGAGTTGTATGTGTTGTTAAAATTGAATTGTACGGTTCAACAACAGCAGTTGAAATTTGTGGAGCTGGATAAACAGCAAATTCAAGTTTGGATTTTTTACCATAATCAACACTAAGACGTTCCATTAATAATGATGTAAAACCTGAACCAGTACCACCTATATTAATGATATTAAACTAGAATTATATATTATATTTCTATCGAAAAATTTACCTCCAAAACTATGAAAAATAAGAAATCCTTGAAGACCAGTACATTGATCGGCTAATTTACGAATACGATCAAGTACCAAATCGACAATTTCTTTACCGATGGTGTAATGACCACGAGCATAATTATTAGCTAAAATCATAATACATATATATATATATATGTATGTACAAGAGAAGGTCTTTTATTAAATATACTTACCAGCATCTTCTTTGCCAGTAATTAATTGTTCTGGATGAAATAATTGACGATAAGTACCAGTACGTACTTCATCTAAAAATAAAAATTATTTCTAATTATTATATTTATTTATTTTATTCTTACCAATAACAGTTGGTTCCAAATCAACAAAAACAGCTCGTGGTACATGTTTACCAGCTCCAGTTTCACTAAAGAAGGTGTTAAATGAATCATCACCACCTCCAATTGTTTTATCTGATGGCATTTGTCCATCAGGTTGAATACCATGTTCTAAACAATATAATTCCCAGCATGCATTACCAATTTGAACACCAGCTTGACCAACATGGATTGATATACATTCACGCATGATCTAATAAACAAGAAATTTCTTTTTTGAACAAAGAAGATAAAATATGATGTAAACATACGAATAGTTTTGTTTTTTTTTTGTTTTAAAAAACGGTTGAAATTGTTGTGTTGATAGTAGTTACTTGTTTGCTCTCGCACGTCTCTTTGTTGCAACTGACTGACAGAATGTTCGAGCCGGGCTGAAGTCTTATATAGAGTGATGAATGTGTAACGAAGGCGACGAAAGAAAAAGAAAGAAGAGAGAATTATCGTGCAATACAGTCTTAGTAGCTAGTGATGAATCATTCCACTTGTACTAGTTCAAACAAATGATGGAAGTGTAGTATAGAGTTTCTATTGGAGACTCGTCAACGACGATGAAACAAATACAACGAAAAAAAAAACACAGAAAAAAAATTCCTTAGAGACCGTACCATCACTACAATAAACCAAAAAAAGAAATGTATAAACATCAAAAATTAGAAAATTGTTTTTTTTTTGTACCAATAATAAAATCTATTCCGTCCTATAAATTTCTTTTTTTTTTGAATATTTATTTAAATAGAAGTAAAAACAAACAAGAACTAACAACGATTATATTTGTGTTGCTATAACACAATCTAAGAAACGTATTGGACAATTGATTTCTATTTAATATATTTCCCTTGATTACCTTCAACTATGTACGACTGTATGTATTGTTTTAACATCAAGGTAGACAATAATTTCAAAATTCTTCTGCTGAACAAAGAAATGAAAGGGCTAATAAAAGAATATCTACGAATACTACATTAATAATGATGACATAAGATGACCTTCATTCCATGTATATATTCTTCATAAACAAGATTCATTGGACGAAATAAAAGTTTTCAGACGAATTAATTGTTGGTTATATTGATTTCAAACTAAAATACAACGTATATTTTACAAACTTTAAGTTTAGAATATGTAAGATTAGAATTAACAATGGCATGTTTATTATTTAATACATGCGGTGGAAAACTTCAAACTAAAAATGTCTGCGAATATAAAAAACTAGCCTTTTAATTTTATTAACTCATTAAAATTTTTAATTGTATACAATCTGAACGATGAACTAAGTAAAGTATTGTATAAATACTGAATACATGTAGAAAAACGTCAATTCTGAGTAAAGTATAATTTATCGATTTCAATCATGTTTGAACAATACAAGAGATTTGTATGTTCAAGTCATAAACTTAATTTTTTTCCAATTTTAATGTGGTCAGAATTATTTTTATTGTAACTATAAGATTTTTTTAATCGATGAAACTGACAAAAAAAAAAAACTTATTTAATTGAACATTCAAATAAATTTACTTGATCAAAAAAAAAAAGAATTGTATTCAGAAAAAAAATCAATCATTCTACACTAACTTTTCAAAAAGTTCAAATTTTCAAATATTAAATAATGAGTTTGCAATGTAGAGTCTTGAAATCATTTCATAAAAATATAATAATTCAAGATTGATACCAAAAACGCCATATATTACAAACTTCTCCATTTGTTCTATTTTGCTTATGGCTAATTACTTTAACTAAAAGACTATTTTTAAAAAATTTTTTTTATTATTCACCGCATGAGGATCTGTGTAACTAAAGATCAAGGTAAAAATATTTTAAAATACGCGATGTCTATCTTAAATTAACAATATTAATATTCTCAATACCAATAAAATGGTTTTGTCTGAATAATGAATCAGCGCTCCTTTTCTTCTAAGATTTTAAAGTCGAGCATGAATTATTGTGCAATGCTGTTAGTGAATAATCTTAAACAAAAAAAAGAAAAATATTTGAAAGTACAAACTAGATCAAGTTATACTTGTGATAAAATTCAATAATTTACAATGGATTATATATGTCATTTCTTCTTATCATATGGATTATTTTTTGTATCTTAGAAATTTTGTAATAAATATTTTTTTCATTTGAGAATATAATCTCGTTAAATTAATTGCTTGAACTGGATTTATACTTAGGGCATACAAAAATCAGTGACGCCGATACTTTAAGTCTTATAGAAGACTCAAGGAAATTTTCTTTCTATGTATATATCGATAGTTGAAATCAAGCTCTGTAATTCTATAATAGTTCATCGAACTTCATGTGATATGAAAATATTGAACACATAACAAAAATAGTGACAACTTGACGAGGAAAAAAAGAGACAAGTTTAGAAGTTTTTATTTCAACAAATATTCGAAGTAATCATCCTGCTTGTTTACATATAGTTGGATTCGTTGGATTAATTTGTCCAATATTTGTCTTAAGTATCCGTCTTTTTTCAACGATTTTATAAGCTTATTCACAATATCATGCAATGTTTTGAAATCGTCCTGATTGCTAAGATTTAATTTGATCAAGTCAAATTACCCAAAAACGTATGGCACTCGATCCAGAGAATTAGATGACTATGGAATTATCGTTATACCTTCTGATTCAAGATAAATGAGTACATCTTCATGCTTATGTGACCTTTCATTATCGTAGTGAGATTTACGTCCATGGGCACCAAAAAAGGAACCATTGGTTTTTGATCGAGGTAACAAAGTTGTGTAAACAATAATTGATGTAATATTGGCGATCGATAATTTGTCCTCATTCAACATAATGGATGAGTATGGGGTTCTGGTGTAAATGGGTGTGCGTGTGTCTATGGGTTTAAAAGAATGGAATCAAACCTACACCCTAAAATCTTCCTAGAAATACGAATACGAAATATTTTTTGATGACAAGTACTAAACTTTTCACAAAGACAGCGATATTTATCATCATTTCTAGTCAATAAAAAGGTACTGAAATATTATTTTTATTTGCATTTTTTCCAACTAAGAACTTCGAGCACCAATAATACAAAGCGACACAAGTATGTGCGCGTAAAAAACATAAGAAAAAAACATTTGTTATGCACACATACGTATATAAGAATAGAAAGTCGACAAACAATAAAATATATGAAACATCGAACAAACAATACACTGTTTTACTCATGTGAAGAGCAAGGATGAAGTTAATGAAAACGAACAAATAAGAATATTTTATCAATCAACGAACAAACAGTATAGCATTACTGTTGTGTGATCAAATAAACATATTTGTGTACAAATATAAAAGAAAAATGCTTCCAAGTGTGCAAGACAACGCAAAGAGCTTTTGCAACTAATCCGAACGTGAATTCCTGAAAAATTAATGGGAAAAGGAGAGAAAAAACAAATAAAATATAAATTGAGTTTGTTTTCAATTTTCACTTCTTATGCCGAGAAAAGAAACATTTTATCATACTACAAGAGATGTAGATGTTTGATTAGTAAAACAAAATAAATCTAAAATACTGCTTTTTAATTGATTTACATTATATTCAATAATAGCTTGTTTTGTCAGTGCTTTCTCATGTAAAATACATATTAATGCTAGATGATTATTAATCTCTTTGAGATAAAGTGCTCGACCACTAGTTAACTTTATAACACTTGATGACATTGAATCAAATACATCTGATGTAGGTTCATTCCTTGTTTCAGTTATTGATGAACATGAAGTTCTCACCGGTGTTGTACTTAATGAGCCTAATAAATGAAGAAAGATTTGCTGATATTTTTTGCAAATTCATTTCAATATCTTACTACTTGAATATGAGTTCATTGATTCATGAATATCATTCACAAGAGATTCATTATTTATATTATCATCAATAGCTTCAAAAACATCATCATTTGATCGTCCATATATTTGACTCATATTTATTTGTAAATCAATCATATTACAGCATACTTCATACATCTTAGCAAAATCAAAAAAAAAAATAAATTATTAAGACTTTTTTCTTTTCATTCTGGAAATTTAAACTTACTTGTATATCAGTTGGTGATGAATCAGTTGCAATACTTATTTTTGTTTGTATATCAAATAGAAATGCTTGTTCCATATTTGATGCTGATATAAGATAATTGAGCAAATCTTCTAAATAATTAAATTGTGGTGATAATTTTTGTATAACTTTTGAAAATGCTTCAAATATTGAATGATCAAATATGGATGTTAGATGAAAATTTATTAATACACTTTGAGAATTTAGATTTGATCCAAACGATATTAATGGCCATGAATCTGTTCCATTATTTAAATCAGTGAAATGATCTCTTACCTGAACAAAAACGAAAATTATCGAAGATTTCAACAGATTATTTGGTATTCCTGCGATCTTATCTCGGAATCAACGACAATAATAGAAACGAGAAATATTAGAAGGGATGTCTAGAAGAACATTAACCAATGTGAAGAAGAAGCAATGAAATCCAAATTTATTGCTTTAAAATTAAGCATTTGTTTGTAAAATCAGCTATTATTCTCAATGAGAGAGAATATGGAATCCTACCATTTTGAAGTGTGGGTATCTTCTCAAAATCAAATGAACAAAGTCCAATTGGAAAAGAATTATCAATACTTATATCATTGGTTTATCGATCAGATATCTTTTCATGAACATGAAAAGGTATTGACTTCAGTGCTATAATTAGTTTCACTGAGATTTGTTATTTATACGTTGAAATAGAAGCTATAATAAATACTTTTCATAAGCTGTACTAGATTGAAATACATTTCTGTCTTCATTTCATCATTTTCTTTGTCATTTAATAATGTATCCGCTTTTGCAGAGTCCAAAAACTCCAAGCAAGCATATCGATGGAGCAGTTCCATGAGAAGTCGATCAGAAAAAAACACAAAGTATTTGAAAAAGTTATTGTTTTTCTATCAAAATTTGTAGAGCTTTTTTCGCTGATTATTTTAATCAAATAACTTTTTGAATTTTATGAAGAAATGACAATATTACAGTCAATATACTAAACACTATAAAATAGCTTATAAAGTGATTTTTTGTGATAAATAAAAATGAAAAGTCGATTCGTATATATCAAAATGGGTATATTCTGGGGAAATGTGATATCGTAGGTTATGTAGAGGAAAATTTGCTCTACAGGATTCCATAGCCGGTTTTTCATTTACATTCGAGAAGTGTCAATAAATCTCAATAGAATATTGTACACGATATGCATATGGAAAACATATGGTATCTTCTGCTTTTACGATAAATATTGTACGTGATGTTCTATCGAGATTTATTGATCTTTCTCGAATGTAAATAAGAAACCGATTATAGAACCATGTAGAGCAAACTTTCCTCTACACAACTTACGATACCACATTTCCCCAGAATATATCTATTTTGATATATACGAATCGACATTTCATGTTCATTGATCACAAAAGAAATCACTTTGTAAGCTATTTTACAGTGCTTAATATTTTGACTATAACATTGTCATTTTTTAATAAAATTCAAAAAGTTTTTTGATCAAAATAATCAGCGAAAAAAACCTTTACAAAGTCTGATAGAAAAACAATTAACTTTTTTGAAATAATTTGTAGGTTTTTGTGATTGACTTCCCCTGGAATTGGCCTATTATTCTGAAAATTTTCATCGAATGCGTAAGGAAAAGAAATATATATACCCATGATAGGGAAAGTCTTTAACTGCGGCAACGAGAGATTGTACCAAAAATGTAATAATTATTTTTATCAACATAACAGTCTGGATCGTAACATTCTGACAAACTACTACAAGACGACCTTTTCTTGCTAAGCAACTATGTCCCAGAAGTTCCGCCAGACGTTTCCATTGGCGTAATAATGGCATACTGATACTTAGTAAAGAATATCTGCTGATATATCTGTCCTTGAAATAATTACGAATAATATATTTACTTCACAAAAAATCATCATTAATGTACTATTATATTGAATCTGTTTATATTCAAAGAATATTTTGAACAAACTAAATAGCTTCTAAAATTTCAAAATTTTCTATATTTCATATTTTTTTTTAGTACCTGATTATGAATATCTCGTTGAGCATCTATTTTTTCTTCTTCT